TTTTTTATAAAGATATAGAAAATATAAAATTATTATGAAAAAACTATTTATTAATCTTTATATTTTTTTTCTGTTATATTTTAGCTGTGATGTTGTTCTATGGGAAAAACCTGAACCAATTCCTAAATCTATATTATTATCAAAAATCAAAAATATAGATGGTATTTATTGTTATTAACAGATAAAATAGATGAAGAAGTATTAAATGCAGCAGGATCACAATTAAAAGTTGTGGCTTCTATGTCAGTGGGTGTTGACCATTTAGATTTACAAGCTTTAAAAAAAAGGAATATTAAAGTTGGTTATACACCAGGCATTCTAACAGATGCAACAGCTGAATTAACTATAGCATTATTATTAGCTACATCCAGAAGATTAATAGAAGCAAATAGAGCTGTTTATAAGTATAAAATAAAAATATATTCTTAATAAATATTATAAATTATATAAATTTTATTTGAATTAATAATAATTTTTATAGAGGTGAATGGAAAGCATGGTCACCTACTTGGATGTGTGGACCTGGATTATCTAAATCAACAATTGGAATAGTAGGATTAGGTCGCATTGGTATTCAAGTAGCAAAATGTCTTAAAAGTTTTAATACTTCTAAAATATTATATACAAGTAGAAATGTAAAACAAGAAGCATCTGAATTTGGAGGAGAAAAAGTAAAGCTTGATATATTGTTAGAAAAAAGTGATTTTATAATTGTTACAGTAGCTTTAACTCCTGACACAAGACAAATGTTTAACCAAAATACATTTAAAAAAATGAAAAAATCTGCTATATTTATAAATGTCAGTAGAGGAGAAGTTGTTGATCAATCTGCTTTAATAGAAGCTTTAAAAAATGGAATAATTAAAGCTGCTGGCTTAGATGTTATGACTCCTGAACCTATTCCATTAGATAGTGAGCTACTGAAATTAGATAATTGTGGTAAGTACAATAAAAAATAATTTTATTAATTTATTAAATTTATATATTAAATTTAAATTTATTAAAAAATTCAAAATTTATTTGTATTTTGTAGTGATATTACCACATATTGGTAGTGCTGCTATAGAAACACGAGAGGAAATGTCAATAATTACTGCTAAAAATATTATAGCAGTTTTAAAAGGAACTCCAGATGAAATGCCTACTCCACTTCAATTATAAAAACAGTTTAAATTAAATATTATAAAAAATTATTATTTTATATTTTATGCTATTTTAGTATATGATATCATGTAATATGTATTTTGCAATACAGATTATAATAAGTTATTAAAGCAGGAATAATGAATAAAGAAAATTATATTAATAAGTTTAAAACTTATATTGATATTTTCTCTTATAACTTAATTCTTTGTACAAATATGATTAAAAATCAAAGATTTTAGTTTTACTATAATTTACAATACATTATATATATATTATATACATTATATTATATATACATATATGTATATATCTATTCTTATATTATATATTATATACATATATGTAATATATATCTACATATATATCTTTCATTATCTATATTTTTAAATGTGACAATAATATGAGAATATATTATATTCTTTAATTAATTATTACAAATTTACTATTCTGAAATATCCGATTTTAATGCTTTTAATACTATTAGAGTTTGCTCATATACTGTATAATGTAATGCTGTTGTCATAGTAGCTTTCAATTGACTTGGCACTAAACCTTTAAATAATCCTTTTACACTTTCTTTCTTTATTGTTAATTTTAAACAATCTATAAGTCCCTTACATTCAAAAAAAGTACCAAAACCTTTTCTGCCATTTCTAAATCCTTGTATTTGTAATCTTTTTCTACTAAGATCAAAAGGATATATTGCAGTTTTAGCTAATAGACCAGCTACACTACCAGATATCATAGAATTGTAAAAACTAATGTTAGTTTCATCATAATATTTCTTATATTTATCGCTCACATATCCATAAAATGCAAATTGTAAACCTGTATGTGGTACAATTTGCAATAAAGTTGGTAATAATCCATAAAAAAAAACTTTTGGAGATTCATGTTGTATAATACAACTGTAAACATATTTTATAAAAATAGCAATTAATTTTGTTATGCAAATTATTTTTATTAATTTTAAACTTACTTGCAAGAATGAAGAATTCCTTTATAGATTGTATGATTATTTGATTGTGCTACTAATCTGGTTCTTATAGTATCAAAAGGAAATGATACAATTGTAGCTAAAAAACCAGCACTTGCTCCAGCTATGAAATTTGTTGAATATTTCCATTCATTTAACAATGAAAAATTATGAGATATTTTCATAAATATATGATACGAATAAAACTGTAAAATTTCAATATTTAATTATAATTATAATTAGTTATATATGAAAATTAGAGATTTAAATAAATCAGTATTACAAATGATACTATTTAAAATTTGTAGAATTTGTTTTTTCTGAATAATTATTTTTATATTTTATATAACTATAAGATTTAATAATATAATATAAATAATATAAATATAAATTAATTGTATTAATAATATTATAATAATAAAATTTTTATTAATAATTATTATTAATTATTATTAATTAAAAGCTCCTGAAATAAATTATAAAATTTAGACAGTATCAAATGTAATATTTAAATTTAGATTAATATTTTAAAAATTATTTTTTATGCTTCTTCCAGCTAAAAATATAATAAAAATAAAAAATTACATGTAAAAATTTTATAAAATATATATTCACCTGAGTTGTTCCATATACAATTGACAATAATTGAGCAGGAATATGTCCCTTCCAAAATGCTGTAATACCTTCTTCCTTAAGTATTAAATAAAATGCTTGTAAAAAAGAGTGATATTTACTAACATGATAGTTAGCAATAGGTTCAACTTGTAACTATAATGATGAAATTCTTTTTAAGAAAATCTATAGCATTATAAGTACTATCACTGTATTCCACATGATATAAATTCTTTTACCTGAAATCTAATTTTCACAACATCTAAAGGTTGACAAGCAAATCTTGTTACAAAGCCACTAACAGCTCCTGCTATAGCATGATCTAAATTATGACTATTGTTTTTTGATGAAGTATCCATTTTTTTTTACTACAAAAAATTCATATTCAATACAGTCAAAGAATAATAACAATTGAAAAATTGAAAATAAGATTGATTTAATTTCATTTTAAAGCATTTAAAATAATTATCTAATTTCTATATTTCTTAATATTCAACGAATAGAATTAAAAAATATTTTACTTATATTTTTTACTTTTACT